TCCTGTGCTCTATTCCCAAACTGCTCCGTGGTCAGGAGGGTAGAGTGCTAGTGTAGGTGTCATTTGCCTGTTGGGGTGTTGCTGAAACAGGGTAGAGTTGAGGTTGCACTGTGGGGTGTTGCGAAACTTAACTCTTCACTTCCCCTTCTAATAACCGAGGGGACAGGAATCCTTACCCAGCGAGGTCACATTCTCATAGTTCTCCTGCATGACGGCTCTGTAGAGAGCTCTCTGAGCGGGGTCCAGCAGAGTCCACTCTTCCCTGGTGAAATACACAGCCACCTCCTCGAAGGTCATCAGCCCCTGAAAGAGAAAGAGCCCCTCACTCAGTACCTGCTGCCCCACTGACAGCCCCACTATTCACAGGAGAGGAGGGCCAATCACATGGAAGCTCTGGGAGGCAGGCAGGCAGGCAGCATAATTCCACACCTACCCCATCGGAACAGGCAGGGTGAGGGGAGAAAAAGAGAGCCCTTCACCCCTCCGAGCAGAGAGAGGTGGCAGGGTCTTCACATTCATCACTTACCTACTAGCCAGAGGCTGATACAAGAGATAAAGCTCCCAGCAGAGTCCACGGACAACACCATGATGGGAATTGCAACACCCTCCCCACTGGTACCAGCCAGATGGGAGGGGATGGGGTGTCTTCCCTGGGCCTCATTGGTGGGCTAAGTTCCCTCTAAGCAGCGCAGCCGCCTATTAAGCCCGCACAGGAACTCAGGGCTGCGGCAGGGAAAGGCACCCCTACCCACCGGCCCCAGGGCGGACCTGCCGCAGATGGGGGAGAGGCACCCCTCCCTCAGCCCCAACATGGACCTGCTGCAGCTGGGGGAGAGGAGCCCCTCCCTTGGCCCGGCCCAAGCCCACCGGAGCTGCCCCAGCTGGGGAGAGGCGCCTCTCCCCCTGGCACAAGCTGCTGCGGTGAGAGGGGCAGGAGGGGGAGTCCTCTCTCCCCCCCCACAGCCCCAGGGCAGCCTGCACCCCCAAATCCATCATCTCCAGCTCCTCCCTAGAGCCCAAACCCCTAGCCAGGGTCCTTGTCCCCCCCTGCACCCAACCCTCTGCCCCTGCCCTGAGCCCCATCTCCGAACCCGTCATCCCCGGCCCCACCCCAGAGCCTTAATCCCCTAGCCAGAGCCCTCACCCCCTGCACCCAACCCTCTGCCCCAGCCCTGAGCCCCCTCCTGCACCCCAAACCCCTCATTCCCAGTCCCCCCACCCCTCATCCCCGGCCCACCCCCTGCACCCAACATTCTGCCCCAGCCCTGAGCTCCATCCTCCCCCCCGCCCCGTATTTACTGCCCTTCTCTCTCTAACAGGAACCCACCAGCAACTCCCTGATAATCCCTACCTCAACTGGCTCCACGGCAGCCATTTCCCTTTTCTGGTCCCTGGAAGGACGGAATGATTTGGAGCAAAACATGGATGTTGCGCTGCAGCCTGTTAGGGCAAAAAGGGCAATTGGGGACATGTCAGAACAGGAAATAATTTCACATCAAAATTCCCCCCCCCCCCAAGGCTCTTTCCCTGCACACTAGTGTTCTAGACTGTTGCGCAAATAACAGAAAAATTCAAAATACAATTAGTAATGGGGGGGGACTTTATCCACCCAGACCTCTGTTAGAAAAGGAATTGAAAAAAACCCATAAGTTCTTGGAATGTATTAGGGACACCTGTTTGTTTCAGAGGATGGAAGAAGTAACCGGAGGACAGCCATTTTAGACTTGATTCTGGCTAATAAGAAGGAATTAGTTAAGAAACTGAAGGTGGAAAGCAATATGGGTAAAAGTGATCATGAAATGATGATTTCAAGATTCTAGGAGAAGAAAGGCATGAGAGTAACAGAATAAAGACAATGGACTTCAAAAAGGCAGGCTTCAACAAACTCGGCGATCTGGTAGATGAGGTCCCATGGAATGAAATCTGAGCTGAAAAGAAGCGTTCAGGAGAGATGGCGGTTTCTCAGAGACAATATTAAAGGAGCAACAGCAAACTATCACCATGTGAAGGAAAGACAGAAAGAATATTAAGTGGGCAAAATGCCCGATCAGGAGCTCTTTAATGATCAGAAAATAAAAAGAAATCCCACAAAAAGTGGCATTCTCTCTCCCCCCCGCAGCCCCAGGGCAGCCTGCACCTCCAAACCCATCGGGGGGGGACAAATTGCTATGGATGAGTACAAAATAATAGCACAAGCATGTGGGGGCGGGGGGCGGGAAATCAGAAAGATTAACTCACAAAATGAGTTATGCCTAGAAAGTTATATAACTGGCACTAAGATAAGGATTCTATAAAGAAGACTAAGGTCTTAAATGCCTATTTATATTCACTAAAAAAGTTAAAATTGTGACCAGATACTAAAACAATTATTCTTAATCAAGATGGGGAAGGAACAGAAACCACAATGGGGAACTAACAGGCTAAAATATATTTAGATAAGTTAGATGTATTAAAGTCCGCAGGGCCTAATGAAGCTCATCCCAGGGTACTCGAGGAATTAACTGAAGCAGTCTTGGAACAGTTAATTATCTTTGACAACTCCTGGAGAACAGTGAGGTGACTTGGGGGTGACACAGGAGCGGAGAAGGGCAAACATAAAACCTGTCTTTAAAAAGGGGAACAATAAAGACCTGGTGAATAAAGACTAGTCAAGCCTTACTTAGATAACTGGAAAGAAAATTTTATTAAAACAATCAATTTATAAGCACCTAGAGAACAGTAAAGTTACAAGTTATAGGCAGCATGGATTATCAAATATAAATCATGCCAAACCAATCTAATTTCCTGCTTTCACGGAGGTACTGGTCTTACGGATGCGGGGGACACTGTAGACATGATACATCTTGATTTTAGTAAGGCTTTTGACCCAGGCCACCATGACACTCTCATCAGCAAACTAGGGAAATGTAGTGTACATGAAAGTACTATGCGTGCACAATTCCTTGAAAGGCTGCACTCAAAGTATTAATGGTTTGCTGTCAAAATGGGATGATTTACCTAATGGGGGTCACACAGGAGCCATTCCTGGTTCTGGTACTATTCACTATTTTCATTAACGACACGGATAATGGAGTAGAGAGTATGCTTATAAAATTTGTAGATGACACCAAGCTGGGAGGAGTTGAAAGCACGTACAATAGAATTAGAATTCAAAATGACCTTTATAAATTAGAGAAATGATCTGAAAGAACAAGACAAAATTCAGTAAAGAAAACTGCAGAGTACTACATTTTAAGCAAGGAAAATCCAATGCACAACTACAAACTGGGGACTAACTGGCTAGGGGCAGTACTACTGAAAGGGATCTGGGGGTTATAGTGGATCACAAACGGAATCTGAGTCAGCCATGTAACAAAGTTGTGACGAAGGCTAGTTCAGTACTGGAATAGTTACCAAGGGAGGTTGTGGAATCGCCGTCATTGGAGATTTATAAGGACAGGTTGGACAAACACCTCAGTGTATGGGGCTGGACTAGATGACCTCTCAAGATTCATTCCAGCCCTACATTTCTATAATTCTATTCTGAGGAAATGTTTGGTCACTTTATTACAGCACTGACCCAGCCCCTTCCACCAGCACTAAACCACAGGGACATTTTAAAACTCTCCCAGTAACAAAGTCTGAGAACCAATTGCGAGACAAGAGCAGAACAAAAGGAGTGACTCTGGGGGATTCCTCCCCCCCCCCCCCGCCGATGTTGTCCCCAGGGCAGCACACTCCCACAGCGAGCGGTTCAGGGAATTGTTTTTTCCTCTCCCTGCACCTCACCTTGTCACAGGAAAGTGAATCTGCCCAGGGATGCTGCAATAAGTGTGTGTGGGCAGGTCAGAGATCTGGGAATCTCTTCCCAGTTATTTCTCCCACTGCCCCTTTCAGTCTCTCCCTCTTTTCTCCTTATGTCATCCTTCCCCTGTCTCTCCCCCTCTGGCTGAGGGGCAGCCATTCCTGGGTGCTCGCTGTCCTATGGCTGGATCAACTCCTGTAATTGCTAAGGGAGGAGATATGCAGGATGAGGGAGCAGCTGTGCACAGTCATTTTCATGCCTGTCCTCAGCATTTTCCCTGAAGTCTCTATTAATCACCTAAAGTTTCTGGTTCCGATTTTGGTGTTGGCAAAGCCTAGGGCTGCCTTATGTAGGGTTACCATATTTCAGCAAGTAAAAAAGAGGACAGGAGGAGCCCCGCCCCTACCCCTCCCACTTCCCGCCCCCTCCAGAACCCCCAACCCTCCCCCCGCTCCTTGTCCCCTGACTTCCCCCTCCTGGGACCCCTGCTCC